TAACAAGGTGGTCTTTTTGCTCTGAAATGAAACATTATAGATAGTTGAGAGGACCTATCAACTATCTTCAAAAGGAACAAAGATCAAAATATATAGCAAATGCAATTTCTTGCATCTTAGACTTCCTCAACATATAATCATTATTCTTTGTGGAACTTGTTCCTAGAAGGAGGGATAATATCATAAATACATATCTACTATAATTATTATTTAGATAATATGAATAGGTAGAAATAAACAAAAATAGATTAATTTTATAATACCTTCTAGATAAGCTTCTTTGATGCTATTTTGAATTTACATGTCTTTGTAGTTGATTAGTAGATTAGAAACTTGGTCAACAAGCTAACTACATATGACATGTATTAATAGCTTATAAAACAAGCTAACTATATGGCTTCCATATAGAAAATTTTCCTTGTAAGTTAAGATATGTGTCATGCAAAGTCAACATGTTTTTGAGGGTCCTATAGAACGTCACTACATAGATCCTAGATAGATGGTATATATAGAAGTAAGACTAAAGCCTTCTTCACTCTTGTTAATTCTTTTTTTGTTTCCAGTCTAATTTCAAGAGCTTCTAATTTCTTTGTCTTTTGGCAATATCCAATCCAGTATCTTTTTTGATATACATACTTTTTCTATTTCTATTTTGTCATATTTCTTTGAGAAAGTCTTACTTGTTTATTTTCTTTCATAAAGTTCTTGTCCTTGACAACTTTTTAAATTATTTAAAAAACTATCTTTAATATAGAATAAATCCAATTAAATGAAACTTCTTGATTTTAATTAATCAAAGTATTAAATTTTTTTTATCTTATTTCTAAGCATAAAGATCTCCTTATTGTATATGCATAGCTTTGATATTTCTAAGCATAAAGACCTTTAATTTATATATTTATGGCCTTGTTTTATATATTATATAATAGACAAGACTCTTTAGAATTAGCAATAAAAAAGTGAATAAAAAATGTGGATCTAAAATTCCAAATAATTTCATAATATTTTTTATTTTTTATTTAATTATATTATTATTTTAATATAAATTTTTGTCTATTAGTAATGACTAAAACAAAACCAACAATAATAAAAACTATAGTATATGAAATAAAATTTACAAAAAATGATATTATAGCAAAGCAAAAAAATAATATAATCTTGATATGATAGAAGGTTAATATTTCTTTGATAAGTTTTTCTTATAGTACTTGTAATTAGAATAAAATATTAGAAATTTTGAATTTATTTAAAATATTTTAATAAATCTAAAAACTAATTTTAATAATAAATAGACTATTTTTGATCTACAATATTTATCAATTTAGAATCTTTTGTAAGGTGTTATAATATTTGATAAGAATATGCATGTAATGATTTAAATTCTAAAATATTTTTAAATAATTCACTTCTAATTGTTCTATTTAAAAATTATGTTGGACTTGTTCATCTTGCATCTTTATGTAGAAAGTAATTTATTATTGTAGTTATAAAATATTTAATAACGTAGAAAGAAGAAAAATTAGTCAAGATAAAAAAATAATATTAAGATGGATAATCAAACCTTAGTTTGGATATTTAGAAAGACTTTTGAAGATTCTAAATATGACTTTTTTCTTAAATTTATATTTATTTTTGGACTTATCAACCTAATTAAAAAGTTTTTATAAAGGGAACTTTTTTTTCTTTGGCATATAGAGTAAAAATTATTCTATTTATAGAATTTAAAGTCCCATCATTATGTACTATTAATGACAAAAGATTTGATACTTCTCAATCTTTATAAGATAACTAAAATATTTAAAAGACTAAATAAAAATCAAAAATATACAACCAGATATATAAAAAATTCTTAAAAGAGAAGTTATGAGATTTTTGATTCAAAGATAAAAAAAATAAAAAAAAATACTCTAAAGATGTGGGTGATAGTCTAAGATACTAGGAATCTAGAATTTATAGCCAAATTTGATGAACTTTAGATATGACCATATATTTTCAAAAAAATCTATATTGATGATTTAATCTAATTCAAAATACTAGATCAATAAGATTTTTTTGTACAAACTAATAGAAGTTATTATAAAAAATATAAAGTGTGGTCATTAGTTACAATACCAATGTCTTTGGTCATTTTGATAGTGAGACAAGGAAAAAAGAAATGAAAAAACTAAGATCTATACCAAAATAATGAAGAAAGAGAAGAGGTCTAAGACTTGCACTAGGATAAAAATAAAAAATAAAAAAATGAAATTTGAATTTGTATCAAGATAAGGAAAAAATAAAAGAGAAGATTGTGACCTATGCTACAACAATGAAGAAGAAGAGAAGTAGATTAAGACTCACATCAGATCAAAGAAGAGACAGAGAAGGTCCAAGACCTATGCCAAAACAAAGAAGAAAAAATAGAAGTTTGAGATTTGCACTAGGACAAAAAAAAAAGGAATTTAGATCAACTAATCAAAGATATTGAGTATATATGTATATACATAATGGAAGTGCATGTAGCAATTTAGAATATGCTTGTAGCTTAAGTCCAAATAATATTAAGTATTTTTTTTTCAAGTCATGGTCATTTCCACTACAGCTAATTGAACTGGGCAAGCTTTCATGGTGTTATATATCAAACAATCTTTAGTTCAAAATTCAATAGAAGTATAGGTATTGTGTAATATTGAGTTAATAAACTAATTAGAAATTTCTACATACAAAAACATATTGAATTAAGCACAAATAATTGTAATTTTTTTATTTCATTGTCATAGTTTTAATATATATTTTTTTATTGTAATTCTTCTAATATAATGTAGTATTATATTTTATATTCTTATTTTTTTGTATATAGATTGAATCAAAAGTATGAATAGAATTCATTCTATTTTTACAAATAATTCCAAATGATTGTCCTACCAATATATTTTAATTAATAAAATTATTAAAAATAATATTTTAAATAATTTAGATACAAAAATATTAATATAAAATATTCTATTTTATTTTTTAATTATTATTAAATGTTAGAAGATTTTATAAGTTATAAGAGTCTTATTAGAAAAAGAAAATCATAAAAATAGAATCTCAATAAGTCTTAAAAGCAATTATCTTAGTTAATTTACTATTTTCTTTTAATAGAAATAATTAATATCTAGCTATTGAAATTAATATCTATACTGGCCTTTTATCCACATTTATTACTTATGAAAAATCTATAAATTTTAGTTATTAGTTAGAAGAAGCATAAAAAATAATCTCATGATATTTTAGTCATTCATAATAAAAATATGATTTTTTTAGTAGATATGAATTAATTTTAATGTTATAAAAATCACCAAAGAAAATAAATAAATCTATAATAAATTTTAGCATCTTTAAAAAAATCATTTGAATTTTTCAAGATTTATTTTGAATCTATTGAGAATTTATTTTAAATATTATAAAATAATTTAGAGAATATTTATAAAATTTTAATAAAAATAATTTATCTCTTTGTAAATCCATTGTGAAAAAATAGAACAATCTTTGAAGATCCTACAAGATTTCTAAGAAAATTGGATGTTTTTTTAATACCATAGTTAAGTCAACTATATATATATATATATATATATATATATACTTTATTAATGAAGATTATAGTGAGAAATAATTAATGTAGTAGTTGTAGGATGAAAAGTGCACATATTCCACATAGGTTGTGTTAATGAGGCAGATGGTGTGACCATTCACTATGCAGGTTTTTATCTTGTCTTATCTACAAATGGAAAGTGTGGTGTTATTGCTAAGATAGACTTCATTCTTCCCAAAAGAGAATACTTCAAAGCTAATAAATTGTTGCCAATTGTGAGTCAAGTGGTATATAGCTCTTGTATCAATAAATTAATGGTCATCTTTTGTTCTTGGTTAAGGTGAATTTTTGGAGTAATATGCTTGTGTGAGGTATACATGTGCATAAAATGTGAGGTATTTCTTCCACATTTTTTGATTTCCATGTGATTTTGGATTTCCTGATATTATTAGAATATATTGGCAAATATGTAGTATTGGAAACAATTTCGGACTTATTCTTTAAAGAATCCAAACTCTAGTGCTTCATTTTTTTTGCAATGAAGGCATGGCATGGTTGCTTTGGATCTGATTTTTAAAGGTTTTTGGAGCTTGTTTTGAAGCTGATTTTAGTTGCAATTTTCTCTTGTCTTTGTGTTCTGCAAAGAGTGCTTGTGATTTTGACAACAATCCCTTTTATAGTGTTGTATTTTCAATCACAAGTAAACTTTGCACAATATAAAATTGAATGCAATTGTGAAAGGGGCTTGAGATATATTGTTCAAGTCATACAAACAAAGAAATTTGCAGAACATGGTAATAGGAAGAGGAGGTGGGACCCCTACAACTATTTAATGTTGATGAATCAATTTTATTTTTATTTTTTGTCCACAGTGATTTTTTTACCTAAATGCAACAACAATATTTGCAACAAAAAGGTCTATGTATATATATATATATATATATATGTATATCCTGAAATCCATTTTTTTGTTTCAAATTACTTTTATTTTCAATTTTATATAAATAGAAGCAAAATGGATAATTGTGCAATAATATATAGTTAAAACATTGATTAAGGCCGACCCAATTTATCTCCTACTTTTTGTAGGCTCCATTTACATCCACTCCTATACTTTTCTCACAACAATGAATTTGAGCATGCAAATCTATTCTCAAAACAACAAAGATTGTATACTCTATTATTAAAAAACATTTTATGCATATACTCTCAATCTAAAAAAATTAAAATGAAACAGAGAGAAGTTATATAAAGTGTGCACATTACTGCAAACTCAAAGGATTAAATAGCTAAGAGACTTGAATTCGAGTTCAAACTCCCCAAGCTAAGAAGTGGGACATCCACCACGATCGAACCACAGATTCACGGACCTGTCAGTGTTGGTACTGATACCACGGTTATCCGGATATCTTCAACCAGGTTATGGAGCCAGAAACGAGGTCGTCTGTCAATAGCAAGCAGCCATCGCCGAGCACCGCAGTGCAACAAAACGGCCGAGGCGGTGCAGCGTAGTCGAAGAAATCGGCCAGGATGGTGACTCCAGTGGTGGGGAGGCCGTCTCGCAGGTGGTCATCAGCAAGGCCAAGCTCTCCGCCAGTCTCGACCGTGAGTTTTCCCCACTGAAAATAAGCTCTTTTTTGTGAGTACCCTATGATGTTTGGGTCAAATCATTCTGTAATGTGAATTGGAAAATACTACCAGTTTCAGTCTTTGGCCGGATAACGAGCGAATTGTAATGCAGTATGGCACTGACTTTTTTCGGGTTTTTATCGAATTCGTTTTCTTACATGTGAAGCAACATTTAGTTTCAGAAGAGTTTGTGAAGTTTTTTGGTCTAAATCTACTTCGTCTTTTTCTGTAGTGGTTAATTTGGAGAGCTAGTGGATTGTGAGTTGATTACATATCGTATATCAACTCAGATGACTGTGATCTCTGTGTCCATTCTGCTGCAAAAGAGGCTCATAAATCAAAGTTCGTCAATCCTTATGGGCACCACTGGTACTAAATTTGACTACTATTTTTTTTTTTTTTTTTATTTCCACTTAAGTTTCCTGCTGGGGACCTAAAAGTTCCTGAAATGTATTCGTCATCTTGTCACTTTCAAAAGGATGAAATCAAATATGTTTTGGTTGGCTGTGCAGATTAGAGCCACGATGTTAAGAATAAGAAGATTAAATCATGCGTCACTTGATGTGATATTATCTTGGAAAATTGAGCCAAGTTGGTACGGTTAGCGATCAGTACCATTGTAATGAGAACCTTCCGGGACGATGCGTATCTGGACAACCTTCTAAAACCCTCTGAACAATTTGAGTTCTCAAAGTAGGTGTTTGTGCTGAAATTTTCCATGCTCTTGCATCTGTGCATACTAAGATGATTATGTCCGTGTTTCACGAAGACTTACTCATTTGAGATCAATGACTAACAGATCCTGGTTTAAATTTAGGTCCAATTACTTCAAATCCTCAACGATCATATGTCGGTCGTGTACTCTGTTGTTCTGCTGCAGGCGGATAATGTTCTCTCAGGTTATCTTACTCTTGTTAAAGCAAATACAAGCTTAATACTTGAACTAGGAGGGCTGCAAACCAGCTCAGTTTGAAGGTTGTTTAGAAGAAATAAATGCTCCTACGTGTCTAGCTGTCTTGTTAAATAAGACAATAAATTACTAGGTATTTTAGTTATTTATGAGCGTTGCGATGTGAGGCTATTCAGATAGCTACTTCTGCAGCTGGAACATTGATCAGTCACAACTCGGGTTTAAGTCCGCATTCTGCCAAAAAAAAGAAAGGAGGATCTAAACCACACATGGTTTGCGCACTAGATTTGTCCCCCCACCTGTTGATGGAGCTAAGTGCAGATGCGTAATTTATTGGAGCTATGCACATGGTTTCAATGCATACCGCAGCGACAATATCCACCATCCCAGTCTCTGCACAAGACTTTTTTGTTACCATCACAATGTGCCTTAACGCCCCAGCATCTTTTACCTTGTGCGGCTTATAGGTCCTGCATCACAAGCCACACTACGAAGGAACCGGATTTATTAGAAACGCTTGATTGGATCTGATAACCAAGTGGAGATGATTGCGGTTGGGATTGGAGCTTGGAGCCCATTAATTAACTTAACAATTACATTGCTACCTTCAGTGGGATTAGCTGCGGTGGTCACAAAAATGGAGTATATGCCACTTCGTGATCTGGTGACTTGGATAGTTTATTTTTGGAAAATGACATGACTTACGTTGAGAGACCTGGTCGAGTCGGTGATGTGCTAACTGACCTAAAAAGAAAACTTATGTGTTCTCAACAGATGGCCAACTACTGTGTTTTAGTATAGTGCTCAGGCCCTAAATCATTCGGAAGCACTCAACCATCTTCATAGTTTGTACAAGAACCTGATGCAAATATGTAGAACTTAACTGCAAGAGTGTTGGATGGCAAGCACCGGCTTTGGCGGTATTAGCTTACAGATAAAGCAGGGGAAGTAATGCTGTACGCTGACGTTAAGGGAGTAGTGTGGAACATGCAGCCCTTTCGTTCAATATTTTTCATTTGATCTCAAGGCAGTGGGTGCTGCTTCAACCGCCTTGTGAGCGCCATACGCGAAACAGGTTTGAAGCCTGATAGCCTTCAAGCATGAACACATCAAAATTCCATTACTTTATAACCTTAGTCTACATGTGCATAGTATTAAAATCCACATATGAACCAACTTGGCCTGAGCTAATACAGGATTCTACCAGAACGTGTGCTGTTCGTCCCAAGTTTGCAAATGGATGTCTAGAAAAAACTTTTTGATTATAAATCAATAATACAATGATTTAGCTCAAAAAAAGCTTACCTTGAAACAAAAGTGTCGTCTTGAGAGCTGTCAAAAGCTTTCTTGGCTAGTAATTGAGCCTGGATGTTGCGTTTTGGGGGGGATTGTAAAGTACTCCACATGTTTTGAATTTGTCCGATAATTCTTGCACATGAAGCTTATCATGAATGCTTGCATGGGATGCAGACCACTTTCCAGTACCCTGTTATACCAACTCTACTTGAGGAAGATCATTAGAATTTGTCATCAAAAACTTCATATATTTATATTTACGCTTCTAAGAATCTGCGTTAGATAGTATAGTTATGATAGTGCAATACTACACATAGCTATCCCCAAAGCAACTGATTCTAGTTCTGTCCTATTACCGTAAGCTACGTGATTCAATGTGTCGATCTGAAACATCTCTAGTTGGAAAGAAAAAACCGTAAATACATTTATCACAGACCAAATCATCCATTGAGCTCAGCTGTATTGATATAATTTTTGCTGTTCAAGTACAAACGAAGGATTACTGTCAACCGGCAATGATCACAAGACGAATCATGTCCAACCTGGTAGAAGACAACCTCTGAGTTGCACATAATTGTCAGGTCACGTACTCCAAATTGTAATGCAGCTTCCATTCCCACAATAAGAGCGGTGTACTCAGCCACCTGGACTGAGCAAAATGGGTCCAGATACTGGCTGATGTTTGCAATTTGTAACTGCTGTAATCATAAATATTACATTGTCACCATTAAATACTGCACTAATTCCAGAAAATCAATTCGTATTGCTGTTGCCTCTACACACTTCATTGCTGCATTTTAACAATTTGCAATCTAAAGCGCTCGCAAAACAGAATGGCTTGATCAGATTGTGCGCCACGAAAATGGTATGAATTTCGATACCGAATGTTCTCCAACGCAAATGGAAATAGCAAATACTAAATACGTTACAGTTAATATTTTAAGCTCGACGGTGTGAATCAATGTTGAACTTGCATGTTGGAAAAGTTGAATTTAAAAACCTTTAGCGGGCTAACAATTATGATTCCAACTCCTCGCTCTTGGACTCGTCCTGTCGTTGACCGAGATTTCCACTAAAATACAGCTGGTAGGGGAATTTTTGAGAACCTGCACTCCATTCCCATGACTGATGTGACATGTTTTCTTGTGAAATGGCTGAAATGTATGATGCTAACTACACACAGTTAAAGAAAGATGGTCAAACCTGGAAGTGAAACTGGACGATATGGAAGGATGTCAATCTTGAGTATTCTTTCCCAAAACTTGCGCAAAAATAAAAAAGTATACAGTGTGTGTTTTCACAAGAAGAGACACAATGACCTCGACCAAGATGAGAACTTTGAGTATGCACCTTGATTTTTATGGGATGAAATACCAGCTCAAGGTGTTGAATCACGGACAAATCTCTCACGAAATAGGCAGACAAACTCCTTCCACTTTGCCATCTCCAATCCGAGGTCTAGACCCATTCTTACACTTCACCAAACAACCCTAGATGAACCAGTTGGATTTTCTTCCTGGTGTGGAGATTTTCTTGAACAGCCCAAATCTCGAACGATTCCATTCACTTGTCAGCTTCACCATCATCGTCATCACCACAGAATGGAGGAATCTCTATATCCCGAAGAGTTGCAGGAGGAAAATCGAGGCCATAGGTTTTCTTAACATAATACCGTATCGGCGGGCATGAGACATGTCTTGCAGTCTTCGAATGATCCTGATGGTAGGCATTCCATACCATTCTCACTGCTACTTTCTTTACTATAGCCAAGTTAGCACAGCTTTCACAAATCCTCTTAGCCTCATGTCTTCCTCAAGTTTATTAAAATTGGGAAAATTCAGGGGCAATTTAAGTAACGTTAACGCGACAGTTCCTTCGAGCATTTAATCTTCCCAAATCCGTTCACACTACCTAAAAGAAAGGATCTCAAGCCAGGACTTAGGAAGACAGACCAACATTAACAGTCGTGTGCGGTGACACGGGACCACTTTTGCTTCGACAATCAACAGTAGAAAAACTCGCAATCCTCACGAGCTGTCATCATGCATACTACGATCACGATGATTTCATGTAAAATTCCTTGAAGACAAACAAACAGGATTTATTAATTCATCTCAACTTCGAGCAACTAAACATCGAAATTACTCCTTTTAATGCCTAGGCAAAGACGAAAGAGGACATTTCTGTTGCATAAGGGCAATGTTTGTCAACAATACACACTACCACTCCCTTCAACTTCACATAATCCTCAGAAGCCCATATTCAACTATATTACCACGTTCAAACCAAAAACTGAAAATACCACGTAGGAGAGATACGAAGGAAGGTCGGACTTTCATTTCGAAAAGGTGACAACCGCAAGAATCCGCACACTATCCATATTGTTTTCCTAAAATATATGATGTCAACTTCATTGAAACACACAACTAACAATCTACTCGTGAAACCATAAGACATCTGAATAATCCGAAAGATGAAGATGAAGACCATGCAACTGAGCTTCACAAAATAAGTGACAAACAGATTCAAATAGCAAGGAAAGTGAAGGCAAAAGAGACGGACTCTGCAAACGATGCTGGGATCTAGATTTTATTCAGAACCATGGAAGGTGGATACACTTGTTCAGTCAAGTTTTGTGCAGCGCTTTCAGATGGGAAGCCATCAATCGCCCCTTTTGTCCACTGAGAGATAATTCCAGCGCAAACTGCAAATCTCAATGCCTTTTGTAGCTTATCCTCGTCCAAGTTGCCTTCCAGAAGTTGAGGCTGAGTTGTCAATTTCCTGATGATTGCTGCAGTACAGTGATAATAACAAAAACAGAGGATTGAAGGTGAGAAAGAAAGTGTCATGAAATACAACTGCAAATACTAATCATAAAAATAACATTACAACTTCACTGGAAAAGGAAGAAAATGAAATAGTTATGACCAGATAACGATTCCTTAGGACTTCTATTCATTCCATTGAGTTTTGATTGTAAGCTTGAGGAGATACTATTCATTGACACCAAAGATGCAGAAATCTAAGAGATAGTGAAGGAAAAACTGGACAAGAAAGGACGGTAAAGTACCGGCAACGATGGCATCCCCCGAACCAGTTCTGTCACAAGTGAACGGCGTTAAAAGCACATCCTCAGTTCCGTGAATTGAACCATGAAAAAGTGGTGTGTAGTAATGAATTCGCCAAGTGCCGTCCGTCACGAAGAGAATTTTCATGTCTTTGTGCCACAAATGCGAGAGCTCCTCAGGCTCGTAGTGATATTCTTCTCTTCCGGTTAACTGTTTCATCTCATCTACAGATTTTGAGAAGTACACGGACTTTCGAGCTCGTTTCTTCTCATACAGAGCCTCACCTAGAAGGAACTCAAGTTCTTGCTTAGTAACTTCTACTATAGTCGACTTCTTCCAAGCATTCTGAATCGTGCTCCAAGTGGTTTCCCGATCCTTCCAGTAAGGCAAGGGGAGATTCACGTCAAAAAAGATTTCTGCACCTCCTTCTCTTGCCGTGTCAATGCTGGTCATGAGCGTTGAGCTAATCGGCTGTTGCATAAGACTGATGGAGGTGAACTGAAACATGCGAGCCTGCATAAAGAAAGGAGGACAATACAGACATCATGCTTAAGCCAACGTCATTAACTATTTATCCTCACAAAACTGTCATACAAATCAAGGGTTCACTATGTACCTCCTTGAGGATATCGAGATTGACTTCCTCAAATGTAAGTGTAGATTCTACATTCGGCGTTTCACATTTCAATTGCACTCCTGCGCCGTTGCCGCAAGAGAGCCGCATAAATGAAACTGCAGTACCAAAGTGGTCGACAACTTTCACTCCCCGTGTTTGAACCCCATTTTCATTGAGAGTCAGAAGCATCTCTTGTCCATGCACGTCATTACCCACCTTCAATCCATCAACAGAATTCCAACTTTATAAATTATCCGAGCCTCTGAATCAAACCTAATGAAAACGCCCTGCTAAACACCACTTCTCATCTTCTTTCCTGTTTTCTATTCTTTCGGATCTTTATTTTTGACATGCCTAAATTGTAGAGCTCCAGATTTTGGCAAAGGATTTAAAACGTAAGTCAGAGAGAATCCAGGCAAGTGAAAGTACCTTCCCCACAAATGCTACGCGCGCGTTCAGCCGCGCCAGGGCCACCGCTAGGTTAGAAGGGGAGGTTCCGGGAGCACGAACAAATTCGGGGGGGCTCCACTGAAGTCCTTTCCAGGAGGAATACACGTCCTCGTCATACAACTCATAATTTCTCTCATGATACCTAACCGTTGGAATAAATTCTTTATGCGCCTCACCAAAACAACAAACTAGAGGTGGCCAATCGAACTGCTCCTCTTTTTCTTCCTCATCACTAGAATATTGCTCTTCGTCGACATTCCCTCCAGCCTTGCTCCTCTTCCGCGTCTGAATGGAAGCCCGCTTAGACGCCACCTTCCCTGCACACCCACCAGCGTTAATAAGCCTGCACGGTATCCGACGGTGCGAAAAGAAATGCAACCCAACTGATGTAGGATTTGTCTGCAAAACAGATGTAAACGTTGCTAGAATCAAGAGTTCAACACCGAGATTCCTACATGGTTATACCCGTATCATTGATCCAGAAACTCTTCTTGGGCATTAATCCTGACTTGATTTGAAAGTAAGTTCACTATGTAAACAATGAAGACTAAATTCTCGTTGTTTATATGATGAATTCATGAATACGTGGTGCCTTGTCAAAGTACATGTCCGAACGGAGCTCGAATCACTCAGGGTTAGCAGTGAAAGGGAAGACGGAAACCTCGAAGTTTCTTAGGTGGTGCCGTGGCCTCTCCCTCAGTTGCCAAGTCAACCACAGTGTCGTCGTCGAAAGCGGCAGCAGCTATCCGGCTGCCAATAGACAGAGCTCGTTCTGAAAGAAACACTCTACTACCTATTCCAGGCCCTGCCACCAATTGCGACGAACACATCTCTATCACCACATCGAAAACTGCAGATAACCCCAAACAGAACGAAAAAAAAAAACAAAACAAAACAAAACAAAATTATACCATTCCTTCGAAGAACACAGGTAAAATCAATCCAGAATTTCCAGGGGAGCTCATCTTCCTACAGCATTTAAAACCCTCCCAACAACAAACTCTCCACCACCCACAACACCAAAATCAAAATCAACCACTCACGGGTTGGCAAAACAGCAGCTCCTTGCACCTTCGCGCGCAAGCCACTTCTCACGCCCTTGCTCCGCACCAGCAATCCCACCGAGCTTCCAGAGCTGCGCCACAGCATGGGCTGCGCCACGGCGCTTTCGAACGACATAGCCAAGCTTCGTCCTGGCTCCATCACCACCCTGCCCTTGGAGCTAAACTATCTCGTTGTCCCCTCTCTATCCTGCTCTTGCTCTTTCACGCCAGTTGCTTACAAATTTCCTCAGCGCAACCAAAAACGCCGGCCCAGGGAAAAGCTAACCACCATTCTGATTGAGGCTACATCGATGTCGCCAAATCAAAGCAACAATGGCAACCCTGCGAGCAGCGTTGCTCGCTAGAATGCAGCTCGACGACCAAAGGATATCTCGCTGCTCTGCCAACCCATATTCTGGATAAACCCAAAACCTCTGGACTCTATTCATCCTCCTAACATCATTCATCCAGGTTTCCATCCATTTTCCTCACAAGCTAAATGCTATGAACTGCATTAGCAGGCTTAAGCTCAGCTAGTGACTTATTGAATACGCTGGTATGACCATTTCCAACAACTCATCCTTAGAATCAATCTTTTTTATTATTATCTCAAACTTTTTGTAAAGTGGAATTGTAGAAAATATAATTGTTTTACATGTTTTGTAGTTGATGTACTAAAGAAAAGTATTTAAGTTTGTGTTGGGATTATAATTGTATTTATAGCTATGGAATAATAGATATATTTTTTTGTGTTTTACATTCTATTTGGCACATGTATATATTGTCTTGAGTTCTAATTGGCACCATTTTATAACGTTGAATATTATTAGAAGTTTAAAAACTTATAAAATGAAAGTTTTTTTTATTGATCAGATATGGTGTTTCTCTCTTTTGGTACAAGACAAGAATATCTAAAGTAGGAGTCTAACAAGCCTTATTTTTTTTCTAAAAAAAATTAATATTGAAACCAAATTGTTACAAAGATATGTTCTAACAAGCTTAATAATGATTTAGGACATGCATTAACACGAAATACTTGTTGTTGTAATTAATATAAAGCACAATTACATTAGAGGTGACTTTTAGATTGAAAATTCTAAAAAGAATTTAATATTATATATAATTTTTAGAATTTTTCAATCCATAATAGTTTTAAATTTTAAAATCTAACAACAAATTATCATATAAGATGATTTATTCTGAAAATTTTACTTGAGTTAATATATAAAAAAATAACAAAATAAAATCTTAATATATGGTCTTTTATCTTTAAATTTATATAATACAAAAAAAGTATTACAGGCTTAAGCTCAGCTAGTGACTTATTTATATTTATTAAAAATAAAATATTAAAATATTATAAAAAAATTAATTAAATATATCTTTTATTATATATTGAAAAACGGCTCCAATATTTGTAACACTAAAAATATGAAATTATATTTAAAACTACTACATTTAATTTAAATCATAATCTTTTATCTATATCTTTTTTAATATATATTAAATTATAGATTATTTATGGATTTATATTAATATAGATCTCAACTTTACATAATTGATTAAAAAGCTTTAATATCAAAAATAAAAGATAGCAATTTTAAATAATTATTTTGTTAAATCCATGATATTTTATATATATATACAACAATCCATATTTTTTTCTTTATAAAAATAATTAGGGATTTTTAAGAAGTTTTGCATTATAAATAAAGTTTTATATATGGTTTTTGAAAAAATATTTATTAAAGAAAATCAATATATTCTTCAAGACATTGTAAATTAGTCCAAATAGTATGTAAGTTTTTTCTTAAAGGTCATTTGTTTAATGTTAAGATTAATTATTTAGCATTGTATTCGCATTCTAATTTTTGAATATTTTTTTATTGATCCAAAACTATGTTATAATGTTTTTTTTTGAATGAACATTTAGAACTAAATAAATAAAAAACATATATATATATATATATATATATATATATATATATATATATATATATATATATATATATATATATATATATATATATATATATATATATTATACTTAAATAAAAATAAATAAGAAAAAATAGATGAAAGCAAATTATATAAATAATATTTTTGCAAGACTCTTCAAGAAAGTTTTTTACATACAAATTAAATATTTAGATTTTTATGGATATGTCTTTTTATTAATAAAACTTATTTTTCAAATTTCTTATGTTTAAAATATTTCAATGTGGCATTATAACATATTGATTAGATTGAAGTCCAATAATCAAGGAGGACTTTATTAAAAATATATCAAAAATATAATTAAAAAATTATGAATAAAAAATATAAAAAATATAAAAAATATATTTATATTGTATATTTTTGTTAAAAGGAATTTTAATTATTTTGTAAGATCATAAATAAGGCAAAACAAGATAGATTTAAAAATATAATATTAGAAGTACCTTAAAATAAAAGTAAAAGCTAAATTTTAAAAAATTAACTAATAAAACCTTAATTTGATATTTTACGAGGATTAATTGTGAATTATAATTCAAACCAAATTCAAAACCATGCACCTCCAATAGATAAAAGATTTTTTGTTTGATTAACAAGTATGAAGATAAATTTTATCTTTCAATCCAAATTAGAAGATTGCCATAAATAAAAGTTACTCGTAATTGGTGGTGTAAAGTCAAACAAGCAAATAAAAAGAATAAAAGAAGAACAAATACAAAACAAAAAAAATGAATGTAATTAAGCAATTACACAATCTAAAATTTAGTCATAGTTTGTTCATTAGATTTTTGTCTAATAAAAAAGTAAAAAGTAAAAATTATATTTTTAGAATAATTAATTTTATTATATTTTTAATGACATAGAAACATGTAAATCCAATTCATCATGAAAAAGTTATGAAGTTTTAAAGATCGAAAGTAAATAATTAAAAAATTAAGTAAAAAAAATTATTCCATGGATAATTTGCTTATATATCAAGGATTTGAATATCACCATGATTCACATGTAGTATATATCAATGTCCTAGAGAGATTACAAGGCCTTAATCTTATCTTCCTAACTACATCTAAAGTACTATAATTCATATGAAACTTATACATCTTCCTTTCGACAAAGATTATATTAGTTGCTAGTTCTTCTATTTTTTACTGGTAGAACTACTTTTTTTTATTTTTGACGTCATCACGGTATTCAAAAAATGCCCAATAATTCTAAGAACCTTGAATAGCCTTCAAATCTTGTTCTATTTCTTCATAATAGCTCCAAAGGTGGTAAAACTCAATTTTAATAAAATGTCAAGGATACAAACTCGAAGAAGATGCATAAAGTTGTGGAATCTATATGAAAAGGAAAGTGACAAAATAGAAGAAAATATGTATATTCAAGGAAGAACTAGAATGGGTATTGCCAAAGACTAAAAAACATAAGACTCTTGAAATTAGACTAAAAATTAACCAAGAAGTTGATAAGAGTGATGGAGACCTCACTCTTGCCTCTATATATACTACTTAATTAAAGAATACATGGCGACATGTTATAGGATCTCTAATACACGTCCAACTTGCAAGACACATGTCTAATTTGCAAGGCAAGTTTCCTAGGTGTATGCCATATGTCCAATTTGTACTACAAGTGGCCAACATGTCGACATGTAGCCTCTTTGTTGGCCAAGTTTTCAACCTACCAATCACCTATAAACATGTATAAAGGGAAAGCACCATCTATAAAGCTTCTAGGAAGCTTTCTACAAAATATTATCATATTTATCTACTTTGACTTACTTCTATCTATTCTTATTATCTAGATAATTATCAGGATAAATATGTATGTCTGTGACATTACTCCCCCCTTTTAAAGAAGAATTCTATGAGGAGTGGTGATTATATGTAGATGAAGTTCAAGATGTGGGGAACTGTATTTGTCATGTATTCTGATCTTTGTTTCCTCTAAAGGTAGTTAATAGGTTCCTTCAACCATCAATAATGTCCTATACCAAGGTGAGAAGACCACCCTAATATTTGATTATTATTGAGGCCTTCATAACTTCCTTCAAATAAAACATCAGTAATACCATCAAGAATGGTTCTTATCTCCAAAAGTATCACTAAACACCAAAAGTCCTTTCCAAGTTCATGGTACCAAATGCATTGTATCTTGCGATCTATTCAAAGAAAAACATGTCGTTCTTGAGGGTCTTTATCTTAATTTTGCCATCTTAAAGGTTGTAATAGTTGCAATGTCTCGTTTGGTAGCTCATCAAATATTAGCTCTTGAATTGAATGTGCTGGTTGTTGGTTTTCCATCTCCTAAGCACTAAAAAATCTAAAGAAATAATGATACAAGATAGAATGAAATCTCCATTGGACTTATTTTGCTTTATAGCAAAGAATTTCTTAACTCTTCATCTTGATTTTGATGGATGTTGTTAATGAAAAGCTTTAACTTTGATTGATGCATTTGCTAGATTCCTAGATGGCTCCCATGTGCATTTATTAATGTCATATCCATGCCAATGTACTAGATATTCTAACTTATTTCAGCACCGCCTTGAATCTAAGACTTCTTCTACCTCAAATTCTTCATTATTGTGCACTTCTATAAGAGGTGGTAGCATTTGTCTCCTTCCTTGTATATCCATTGTCTTGTATGGCTCAAGTAAAGACATATGGAACATAGGATTGATTTTCATAGACTCCAATAAGTATAATTGATAAGCAATTGGATTGATCTATTCACAAATGAGAAATGGTTGAAGCCTACAATAATCCAGCTTATCACAAAGATGAATAGTTTTAATCATACGATGAAGCAATCATATCTTATCCCCCTTGTAGGATTGAGGTTTTTCCTTGCGATAGACATCTGCATTGGCTTCTTTTTGTTCTTGAGTTTTTTTTAATTGTACCTTCATTATTGCATGTAGCTTTGATAATTGATTTGCTACATCTTTCATTGTATAATTATCAAGTTTTAAAAAGTCAAAAGTATCAAATCATGGATGATAACTATAATTGGCAAAAAAAGATATTTATTGAGTAGAAGAATGTACCGAATTATTATAAGCAAACTTTGCCAATGACAAAAGAATTGTCCAATCATCTTATTGATAATTGATGGTACACCTCAAATACTACTCTAAAACTTGATTTATCCATTCTATTTTTCCATCAATTTGAAGGTGGAAAGCCAAAGATAGTTTTATATCCACCTTCAATATCTTAAAAAGAGTTCTCCAAAATCTTGATAAAAATTATGTTTCTCTATTTGATATAATATTCCTTGATAATCGATGATAGCGATAGATGTTGTCAAGGAAGAGTTTAGTTGTTCCTTCACCTATGATAGATTTTATACATAATGCAAAATGTACCATCTTAGTGAAACGATCTACATTCACGAATACGGAA